CCTATCACGTTCCACGATGTAAGGAATTCAATCGAAAGCGGTTGAACGATGAAGAGTAATGACAGCAATTAAAAAAGGCAGTTTTCATGACAAGTCGGCCATTACGAAGAAAGTGGGCAGTTATAGGACGATCAAGCAGTTTTTAGGGCGGTTGATCACAAAGAGATCGTCCATGAAGTATAAAAGGAAGAAAGGACATAGAAGCAAAGGACCGAATCCAAAACTCTCGAACAGAGAACATGTAATTTTCATTTCCTTAGTTTTTAGATTTAAACACTTTTCTTTCAGTAACTCGTGTGCTTGCGCCTCTTGGAGGCACGTTGTTTTTCATTTCCAATTGTAAAATTCATCGCCAATAAAAGAACACCCCTTTTTGGGATTTTGTCTCAAGAGATTTTGTCCCTTACACAATCGTCTGATCCTTTTTAATTGTTAACGACTAACCCGCACGAAACAAGTTTGATTTTTGTAAAATGCCTCCTGCAACAGACCTTGTACAGAGCATCTCACATGGGGGTGGACCCCACTTGTGGACATCATGTGTGTGTGCCTGTACAAGGTCTGTTCCTATGCAAGCAGCACAATTGTTGATTTTTTTAAGGTTAAGAATAGTTTGGGGACTAGTAGTGCTATTTTCTCACACTAAACTCACAAAATTATTCCCGGTTCAATAACCGGTCCAGTTGAGCCCCGGTTATAAGCTTACCACGACAGAATTGGCTGAACCTCTGAGATAAACTGATAAAACTTATCTTCTCAACTCAACAGTTCAAAAATAAATTCTTCCAAATGATCCAAGATTTTCTTTGCTTCCAAAATTCAATCTTTATACACACAAACACACACAGCTAACAAATTACAGGTAGAGAAAGAGAATGCTAATCCAGTGTACCTTTTCACCTCCTTCGCAACATTCTTACAGCACCACTATTTTTATCCCAAATCTAAAACCGAGAAACAGGTTTCATCCAATTTCTGGTGAATTTTCAGTTTTTCATAGTAATGGGACAGCTCTATGTTACTTTTCAAGAAAACCCACAAAGCGCAAATTCAGGCCGCTTAAACTCTCTCTGCAGGTATGGGTATACCTTGCAAAGTTGCAATCTTTCCATCTTTTGAAATTTTGAGCTTTGTTGTTTTTGGTATGGGATTTTGATTTAAAACCTGCGTATGCGATTTGTTACTAATTTTCTTATACATCGCGCAATATCTAACTATGTTTGGTTTTTTGCGATTTTAAGATTTGGAGTGATGAACTGTATATATGAACTAGAAAAGAGGTCAATTTGAGTTATCTGTAGTTTGGTGATAAGGAAGAGTGCACAATTGAGTTAAAACAAAAAAAGAAAGAAAAAAAGAAAAAGAAGAAGCTTAACTATCATATTAGTTACAAATGGGGATAAATGTGAATGGTCAAGTTGCAATTTCGTTGGTGAAACATACCAATTGTTTCTTTTGAGCGCGACCATTTTTTGCTTGTTGATAATTTGGTTGGTACAAAAGAATTGAATTACTAATTCATGTAGTCTGTTATTTTGTTTTGCAATCATCCAAAAAATGGTCGGTTATATCATGGATGATGTGAAGTGTGAAATCGTTCACTTATTTTCTTGTTTCACATTGCAGTGACAGTGTTTTCATATGGCATGTTGCCAATGGTAATGCTGTGAAAAGCACGAAAATTTGGTGTTGCTGATTAATACTTTAATCAAATATTAAGGATACCGTTTGAATGGCAAAGCAATTTTCTTGGTATAACTGAGTTCTTTCTTAAAGTGCCTTTATGATTCAATTCAAGTACAAGGGACATCATAAGACATTGTTTTATATTCATACACCTAGGGTCCATAAATTTCAATGCTACTATTGTTCTATACCTTTTGTTAGAACGAACTAAAACTTTCTTGTGCTTTTCAATATGCTCTGACTAGCTTAATGTTTGGTTGTCAATGGACACAGACATTCGAAAAGGAAATGGAAATGTCATCTTCCTTGACCTCGGACAAAAAGGAAATGGAAATGTCATCTTCCTTGACCTCGGACAAACTTGAAGGTCAAACAATTTCTTCTTTTCAGTGGCTACTTTTCTCTGATTTATATTCTTGTTGAGGTTTGTTATGTACCCTCAAACAAATCTTAGCTTCTTTTAGTGTATGGTTATATCTACACCTATTGAAAGCATGAATGTCTGTGCTTTAAAGTAACTTTTTTAGAAAGCAAGTTAAGACTTACTCTTTAGAAAAGTAAGCTTTGTTTGTGAAAAGAGTTAACTTTTGAAAATCATGTTTGGCAAAATTCATATCATAAAAGTTTATGCACAACCAAGCATGCTTATAATCCTGAATTAGGTCTCACCATTTTGGTTGATTCTATCAGAAGGTCTAATGATGAAAAGCAATACTCGTGCATTCTTATGAAACCTCTAAATAATTAGCATTATGTTAATAAAATCTAAAAGTAATTTATTTATTTTTGTGAAAATGGAAAATGGTGATTCATAAAAAGGGGTGGAAAAATAGAGTAGTTCTTCTCTCCATAGCAATAATCGGATAGATATAGAATACAAGTTTTAGGTATGTTTTAAGTTATATTGGTGGAGTTGAAACCATGAATTTTTCAGATGGAATTTTGTTCTATGTGGCTTGTTGGACGTAATTACTTGACTTCTTTAAATTGTCAATGTTTAGATTTAGGCTTCGGTCATATTTACAGGTATCATTTGTATATAGTATTGGTTAAGCATACTGTTAATAGATTTTGAAGCTGATATCCCCATTCTGTCCCAGAATTCTCAAGGAAGCTTTCAGTTGATGAAGATAGAACAAGGGTTAAAAGGCCTTTTACTTTTGTATCTTCTTTCTCATGTTGTTCATGGTTGATACCGGCACAAATGGTACAAGCAAGTGAAGATGTAAGAACAAACGTTGTCTACGAGGTAGGGGAGTTATTTGAATTGGGAATCCAGCTTTCATACCTGCTTTTACTACTTGCGTTGCTTGGGGTCGGAACATTCTTTGTAATCCGTCAAGTCCTTATGCGCAGAGAGCTCGATCTTTCTGCGAAAGAATTACAAGTAAGTACTTGCATATTTTTACTTGATCTTTGTAAATGACATGGTTTGCTTCCTCCCCAACCTAAAACTCCAAACAAGAGAAGGAGCGAGCATAAGGATGGGTAGTTGGTAGGAAAACAGTTAGCTTTTGATTATTAGCCAAAAGCATAGGTTTATTAATTAGAAACAAAATTTTACAGATATAGTGGGGACGCTCACACATATTGCCTGTGTTCTACCTACAAGGTTAGGATCTAAATAAAAGAATTTCACCACTATAAAAGTAGGAAATGCGGATGACATTAGTATCTCATAAATAAAAAGTCTTTATTTTACCAAAAGCATGTGCCTATTTCGAAAAAAATTGTAAGAATGTTTTATAACTATCGAAAACACTTGCCTATTTCACCTTATGTCTACTACTTGTAAATGTTAAGGATGTGAAACTATTTCCACATTTTCCATGATATTGTTATATTTTTTCAGTCTTTTTCTGACTAGTTTGATTGCATAATTAGTGTAAAATATTTCATTTAGAGTTATTTGTGAAGTCTCTTTGTAATTCTTTGACGGGATGGTTATATAAGTTCTTTAATCATTTCTGTCTTAATTACATTTACTTTATAGTTTGTCTCAGTACAGACATTATTTTTAGATTGTCTCTCCAGGATCACAATCCTTATGAACAGGAATATGCTTTCCAAAAGACGCATCTCCCTGAAACCCTTTTCCCCTCTAAATGTAGCGTCTGAGCCCTACAATTAATCGCAATCTAACCAATTAACAAAGTTAAGATGACCCATATATAGGCCTAAGCCTCTAAAAGAAAAAAGATAATGAATTTGTTTGAAGTTTTATTGCTCCTTTCTATCAAGAGACCCATGTATTTCAAAGTTCTATTTACCTTTAAGTTTCTCAGGAAACTTGCCAGAACACTTTATTTTGTGTTAGTATTGATCTTATCATGGTAATTCTAAAGTAGATTTTCGGTCGATATCCGTTTGCATAATGAATACTTTTATCAGTTCCATTGTAGGAATTTCCTCTTTAATTTTTTCGAGTTGCGTAAGATTTTTTCCTTGTTTGTGTATTATGGACAAGTTTTACATCTTTTCTTGTTTTATATAGAATACCAGGGTAAAAACCTGGAATGCATAGTCAGGTTTAGATATTATCCCATGACATATTTGGTGCGTTGAATTAAATAATAAGAAATATGGCATTTTTTATTTTTATTTTTTTGAAAAATGTTAATACTATATGGTAAAAGATGGAAGCTCTATGTGAATATATAATTAAAAATAAAGTCATGTTAGTTAAAAGGCTCATGAATGTGAAATACAAAATAAGAGTTACGAAACCTTTGTTACATGAATAATATTATTTAACACCAATGATAGTATATCACTAGTTCAGGTTATCACAATTGATGATATCAATTTAATGAACAACGTGACATTGTATTGAAGTGAATTTTTCATTTATTATTATGCAATTACCACATTAACTGATATTTAACACCGTGGTGCAGAATAACATTACTCTCGTTACTTAATCCAAGCTGTATTTTAACTCGTGTTGTCATTGTAAATTGATATCTCAAAAGATTGTTGGAAGATTTATGCCGATTTGAAGAGTCGACAGAAATTAATGGGAACAACAAGCCATATACAATAAGTTTAGGATGAATTCTCAAAACACTCATCTGCTAACTTTATTAAATTGTAAATTGTGATTAAATGTTTGAAATTTGTCCTCAAAATTAAAATTTACATAAATCATGCAAATTAAAAGATAAATTAATGAATTTTTAATTAATATAACTTAATGGTTTTTAATTAAAATTTCAATCTTTCAATTCTTTTTCACTTTAAAATAAAATACACCCAAAGTAACGTTTTTTTTTTTTTAATAAATTCACTAGCCTTCGCTTCTACCTCCACATAAATACGGGACCACTGGCAACCACAAAAAATATAATAAAAAACCCCCCTTCAGAATCAGAAGTAATAGGCAAGGTTGAAGAATTAGTCCTCAAGGTATTTCTCAATTGAAATTTGATCTCCGAACTTTAAAAAATAACAAATTGATCCTAAATGTTAATAATAGTTCCATAATTGGTTGCAACTATAGAAGACACCGAAATCTCTAGGAGGAGCGTGTTTGGGTAGTGAATTTTTGTAATCATTTTTTATTAAACATACTTTTTATTTATCCATTTCTTTGACCCATAATCATTGTCCACTTATTATCAACAAATTCCATAAGATTCACAACATATAGTAATTGAATTTAAATTTAATAACTTTTTAGACATGAACTAAATCGTTATGTCATCCTTATAAAAATATACCTCACTCCAAATTTTTAGTCCGTCACAAATTTTAAAGCATAATGAGGATCACATGACTATTTAGCAAATATTTGAAAAGGTTCCGTGGTAGAAGATTGATTTTACGTGTATAAGGAAAATAATAACAAGCAGTTTTGTTGACACATAAAAATTCAGCCCAAATCGAACAGCCCAAGGAGTGAAGCCCAATTGGAGGATCCCCAAATCAGATAGCCCAAAGAACGAAGCCCAATCAAACAAATCAAGATGAAGGCCCAAATAAGGAAGCCCAAGAACGTCGTAATGCCATCGCCCAAGTTTGCAAGTCGTCCAAAATCTGAGCGAATGGAGTGTCATACAGTCGCCCAGAGCTGTTACTCTATTCTCGCCCAAACCTTCAAGTCGTCCAAGATCTTAACAAGCATAAAGCGTCGTGGTTATCAAGAAGTACAATTATCAAAGCAGTTATTAAAGCAGCCCTATCACGTTCCACGATGTAAGGAATTCAATCGAAAGCGGTTGAACGATGAAGAGTAATGACAGCAATTAAAAAAGGCAGTTTTCATGACAAGTCGGCCATTACGAAGAAAGTGGGCAGTTATAGGACGATCAAGCAGTTTTTAGGGCGGTTGATCACAAAGAGATCGTCCATGAAGTATAAAAGGAAGAAAGGACATAGAAGCAAAGGACCGAATCCAAAACTCTCGAACAGAGAACATGTAATTTTCATTTCCTTAGTTTTTAGATTTAAACACTTTTCTTTCAGTAACTCGTGTGCTTGCGCCTCTTGGAGGCACGTTGTTTTTCATTTCCAATTGTAAAATTCATCGCCAATAAAAGAACACCCCTTTTTGGGATTTTGTCTCAAGAGATTTTGTCCCTTACACAATCGTCTGATCCTTTTTAATTGTTAACGACTAACCCGCACGAAACAAGTTTGATTTTTGTAAAATGCCTCCTGCAACAGACCTTGTACAGAGCATCTCACATGGGGGTGGACCCCACTTGTGGACATCATGTGTGTGTGCCTGTACAAGGTCTGTTCCTATGCAAGCAGCACAATTGTTGATTTTTTTAAGGTTAAGAATAGTTTGGGGACTAGTAGTGCTATTTTCTCACACTAAACTCACAAAATTATTCCCGGTTCAATAACCGGTCCAGTTGAGCCCCGGTTATAAGCTTACCACGACAGAATTGGCTGAACCTCTGAGATAAACTGATAAAACTTATCTTCTCAACTCAACAGTTCAAAAATAAATTCTTCCAAATGATCCAAGATTTTCTTTGCTTCCAAAATTCAATCTTTATACACACAAACACACACAGCTAACAAATTACAGGTAGAGAAAGAGAATGCTAATCCAGTGTACCTTTTCACCTCCTTCGCAACATTCTTACAGCACCACTATTTTTATCCCAAATCTAAAACCGAGAAACAGGTTTCATCCAATTTCTGGTGAATTTTCAGTTTTTCATAGTAATGGGACAGCTCTATGTTACTTTTCAAGAAAACCCACAAAGCGCAAATTCAGGCCGCTTAAACTCTCTCTGCAGGTATGGGTATACCTTGCAAAGTTGCAATCTTTCCATCTTTTGAAATTTTGAGCTTTGTTGTTTTTGGTATGGGATTTTGATTTAAAACCTGCGTATGCGATTTGTTACTAATTTTCTTATACATCGCGCAATATCTAACTATGTTTGGTTTTTTGCGATTTTAAGATTTGGAGTGATGAACTGTATATATGAACTAGAAAAGAGGTCAATTTGAGTTATCTGTAGTTTGGTGATAAGGAAGAGTGCACAATTGAGTTAAAACAAAAAAAGAAAGAAAAAAAGAAAAAGAAGAAGCTTAACTATCATATTAGTTACAAATGGGGATAAATGTGAATGGTCAAGTTGCAATTTCGTTGGTGAAACATACCAATTGTTTCTTTTGAGCGCGACCATTTTTTGCTTGTTGATAATTTGGTTGGTACAAAAGAATTGAATTACTAATTCATGTAGTCTGTTATTTTGTTTTGCAATCATCCAAAAAATGGTCGGTTATATCATGGATGATGTGAAGTGTGAAATCGTTCACTTATTTTCTTGTTTCACATTGCAGTGACAGTGTTTTCATATGGCATGTTGCCAATGGTAATGCTATGAAAAGCACGAAAATTTGGTGTTGCTGATTAATACTTTAATCAAATATTAAGGATACCGTTTGAATGGCAAAGCAATTTTCTTGGTATAACTGAGTTCTTTCTTAAAGTGCCTTTATGATTCAATTCAAGTACAAGGGACATCATAAGACATTGTTTTATATTCATACACCTAGGGTCCATAAATTTCAATGCTACTATTGTTCTATACCTTTTGTTAGAACGAACTAAAACTTTCTTGTGCTTTTCAATATGCTCTGACTAGCTTAATGTTTGGTTGTCAATGGACACAGACATTCGAAAAGGAAATGGAAATGTCATCTTCCTTGACCTCGGACAAACTTGAAGGTCAAACAATTTCTTCTTTTCAGTGGCTACTTTTCTCTGATTTATATTCTTGTTGAGGTTTGTTATGTACCCTCAAACAAATCTTAGCTTCTTTTAGTGTGTGGTTATATCTACACCTATTGAAAGCATGAATGTCTGTGCTTTAAAGTAACTTTTTTAGAAAGCAAGTTAAGACTTACTCTTTAGAAAAGTAAGCTTTGTTTGTGAAAAGAGTTAACTTTTGAAAATCATGTTTGGCAAAATTCATATCATAAAAGTTTATGCACAACCAAGCATGCTTATAATCCTGAATTAGGTCTCACCATTTTGGTTGATTCTATCAGAAGGTCTAATGATGAAAAGCAATACTCGTGCATTCTTATGAAACCTCTAAATAATTAGCATTATGTTAATAAAATCTAAAAGTAATTTATTTATTTTTGTGAAAATGGAAAATGGTGATTCATAAAAAGGGGTGGAAAAATAGAGTAGTTCTTCTCTCCAAAGCAATAATCGGATAGATATAGAATACAAGTTTTAGGTATGTTTTAAGTTATATTGGTGGAGTTGAAACCATGAATTTTTCAGATGGAATTTTGTTCTATGTGGCTTGTTGGACGTAATTACTTGACTTCTTTAAATTGTCAATGTTTAGATTTAGGCTTCGGTCATATTTACAGGTATCATTTGTATATAGTATTGGTTAAGCATACTGTTAATAGATTTTGAAGCTGATATCCCCATTCTGTCCCAGAATTCTCAAGGAAGCTTTCAGTTGATGAAGATAGAACAAGGGTTAAAAGGCCTTTTACTTTTGTATCTTCTTTCTCATGTTGTTCATGGTTGATACCGGCACAAATGGTACAAGCAAGTGAAGATGTAAGAACAAACGTTGTCTACGAGGTAGGGGAGTTATTTGAATTGGGAATCCAGCTTTCATACCTGCTTTTACTACTTGCGTTGCTTGGGGTCGGAACATTCTTTGTAATCCGTCAAGTCCTTATGCGCAGAGAGCTCGATCTTTCTGCGAAAGAATTACAAGTAAGTACTTGCATATTTTTACTTGATCTTTGTAAATGACATGGTTTGCTTCCTCCCCAACCTAAAACTCCAAACAAGAGAAGGAGCGAGCATAAGGATGGGTAGTTGGTAGGAAAACAGTTAGCTTTTGATTATTAGCCAAAAGCATAGGTTTATTAATTAGAAACAAAATTTTACAGATATAGTGGGGACGCTCACACATATTGCCTGTGTTCTACCTACAAGGTTAGGATCTAAATAAAAGAATTTCACCACTATAAAAGTAGGAAATGCGGATGACATTAGTATCTCATAAATAAAAAGTCTTTATTTTACCAAAAGCATGTGCCTATTTCGAAAAAAATTGTAAGAATGTTTTATAACTATCGAAAACACTTGCCTATTTCACCTTATGTCTACTACTTGTAAATGTTAAGGATGTGAAACTATTTCCACATTTTCCATGATATTGTTATATTTTTTCAGTCTTTTTCTGACTAGTTTGATTGCATAATTAGTGTAAAATATTTCATTTAGAGTTATTTGTGAAGTCTCTTTGTAATTCTTTGACGGGATGGTTATATAAGTTCTTTAATCATTTCTGTCTTAATTACATTTACTTTATAGTTTGTCTCAGTACAGACATTATTTTTAGATTGTCTCTCCAGGATCACAATCCTTATGAACAGGAATATGCTTTCCAAAAGACGCATCTCCCTGAAACCCTTTTCCCCTCTAAATGTAGCGTCTGAGCCCTACAATTAATCGCAATCTAACCAATTAACAAAGTTAAGATGACCCATATATAGGCCTAAGCCTCTAAAAGAAAAAAGATAATGAATTTGTTTGAAGTTTTATTGCTCCTTTCTATCAAGAGACCCATGTATTTCAAAGTTCTATTTACCTTTAAGTTTCTCAGGAAACTTGCCAGAACACTTTATTTTGTGTTAGTATTGATCTTATCATGGTAATTCTAAAGTAGATTTTCGGTCGATATCCGTTTGCATAATGAATACTTTTATCAGTTCCATTGTAGGAATTTCCTCTTTAATTTTTTCGAGTTGCGTAAGATTTTTTCCTTGTTTGTGTATTATGGACAAGTTTTACATCTTTTCTTGTTTTATATAGAATACCAGGGTAAAAACCTATGTCCTATTAATTTCCAAAGATGCCCGATTTCTTGTTTCTTAACTTTGGTGTCAGAATTTGCTCTCTCTCTCTCTCTCTCTCGGTTCCATCTATTTCTCATGATACTAATATTTTACTACATCTCAGGAGCAAGTGAGAAGTGGTGATGCTAGTGCGACGGAGTTGTTTGAACTTGGAGCAGTAATGTTGAGAAGAAAGTTCTATCCAGCTGCTACCAAATATCTGCTTCAGGCAATTGATAAATGGGATGGAGATGATCAAGATCTTGCTCAAGTATGACAATTCTTTATCTTTTCTCTCTCTCTCTCTCTCTCTCGGTTCCATCTATTTCTCATGATACTAATATTTTACTACATCTCAGGAGCAAGTGAGAAGTGGTGATGCTAGTGCGACGGAGTTGTTTGAACTTGGAGCAGTAATGTTGAGAAGAAAGTTCTATCCAGCTGCTACCAAATATCTGCTTCAGGCAATTGATAAATGGGATGGAGATGATCAAGATCTTGCTCAAGTATGACAATTCTTTATCTTTAATTACCATCACATCAACAGTAAAAGAAATAACATGCTCATTTCACTATAGATGCTAGCAAACTACCTATGACTCCAATATTGGCTAAAAATCAACGTTCTCACTCTTGAAACAACCAAATATCTCCGCAATCAGCCAGGTATTAACATGAATAAGTGCTGAAAATAAATGAAAGATTCTAAGAAGATGGTCTTTTGCACCTCGAGAGAAATTGAAGCCATATTATCTTAGAACTCTGAATTTCAAAACCATAGCATACAAATCCTTAATCTTTGGCTCATGATTTTCGCTATATATTCTGTTGATGATCATCAAGATATGCTTAATTTCATCCTCAAAATGGTAACGTATTCCCAGCCTCTGCAAGTTCTCAATTCCAACTGATCCAGTGACTTTGGTGCTTCTTAAATCATTTTCACTTTAATCTTCAGCTCAGTAGCTCGTATTACGTCGCTCTCCCCTATATTATGCATATCATTTTTCAAATTTCAGTCAGCACTTACAAAATGAAAAGAAAAGGTTTCTGTATAAAACATAAAATGGTTGTTTTGTGGGTATCATGCCGTCTTTCTGATGGATCATATTAGTAGGAACTCGTAGTGCATAAATGGTTGTTTTGGGGGGCATCACTCTGTCTTTTTGGACGTCCACTTAAAACAATTTTTTTTCCCAATGAAGTTTTAGTCCACACAGAAATCAAAGTAAAATAAGGTGCATATAGAAAAATGAGAAATATGTCAGGAGGAGAAGAATTATGGTGGTCGAAATTTGTGTTATAACCATTGTTTAAATGTGTGGAGCCTAAACATACTGCGCTCATGTTAAATACATAACCATTTCTCCATTCACCAGGTTTATAATGCTCTTGGTGTCAGTTACATTCGTGATGGAAAAGTTGACAAGGGTATAGCTCAGTTCGAGAATGCTGTCAAACTTCAACCTGGCTATGTCACTGCCTGGAACAACCTCGGTGATGCTTACGAGAAGACCAAAGACTTAAAGTCGGCCCTTAAGGCATTTGAAGAAGTTCTGCTTTTCGATCCCAACAACAAGGTGGCACGTCCTCGGAGAGATTCATTGAAGGAGAAGGTAAAGATGTATAAAGGAGTCCCTGTAAAATCAAAGAAGAAATGATTTTGTAAAAGGGTTATCTGAAGATTTTAGGCATTGATCTTGAAATCTTTCTTTATCTTAAATTTGTGTTTTTGGTAGTTGCTTTAGTTGGAAATTTAATCGGCAATTTGATCAATGTTAATATTCAGGGATTTTGGTTTTTCATCGTTCAATGAAAATTTCACGAGTTCGTCGATATATTTTTGTTGTGACGTTGTTTGTAGCAAACATTTGTGTAAGTTCATATCAGAAATTTGTACTCTAAATTTTTAGATACGTAGGGAAGGCTCGCACCATTTTGTCCATCTATCTTACTTTTAAGCCCATGTTTGGGCCCATTTTTAAAACTCATTTTTAACTATACATTTTGTGAAATTTACAAATTTTATCAATTTTTCAACCACATATTTCATTAATTTTTATAAAAATTTATTAAAAATCAGGTTTTTAGCAAATTATACATGGCAAAGTTGTTACACATCACGAACAGACTACAAATGTTTGATACGTGTACAATTTTATAAAAAGGGATTGTGAGATTTGGACTCGAGCATTTTTTGTTTTAATACATATTTAACTTTTTTGTAGAGAATTTTATGGCGTGTTTGGTTTGATTTGCATTTCTATTTTTTGTTTTCAGTTTTGAATTTATTTTCTGGAATTTCTTTTTCCTGTTTTAGGGATTATTTTAAGGTTGTAGAAAAAAGGTTTGATTCGTCATTCTGAAAAATTATTTCTTAAAACAAAAAACTAGAAAATGCATTTGATTTAAAAACTTTAAAAATAGTTTTATGACATTTTGGAAGAGAGTGGGAAGAGAGAGAGGGAGAGGTCTATTTGCATTTGAGTAAGTTTTATCTGATTTTATTAATTATTTTAATTTAGAAAATTCTTGAGTTCATTTCCCTTGTTTTGAGTTTTTTCTTTCTTTTTTCTTTCTTTTTTGGGCGTTTTTAATGAAAACACTCTAAACATCAAAAAGTCATTATAAGTTTTGTGTTGTAAAATTTTTCTATTTTCAAAAACTCATTTTTTAAAGTAACATATGAAACACATTTTTGAGTATTTTAAAAAACTGAAAATGACCTCAAAACAACAAATCAAACGCATTCTAAAGTTTTTATAGGAATATGTATTTATTTATTTCAATTTAGTCATTGTCGCTCGCATCGAAGTATTATAGAAAGACCTTGAGGTGGCTTTGTCCGCAGCTCAAACTAAGCGCATTGAGATGCTCGAAGTAAATATTTCTGAACTTGAGAATCATCTAGCGATATGCCCTAATTCTTCGGATTGGCCAACAGAGCTTGACGCCTTTCAAAGTGACGCTTTTGAATTTTTCAGAAAAATTTTAGGATAATCATTCTAGTCTAGCTCTAGACGAATACGATATAGAACTAGATTGACCAGACAGCTCAACCCTCATACTGTACGTGATATTCAAATGTAACTTGGTTTCTTCTAAATTTTTTGGAGTTCTTTTGTGTTCGCTCATCGTATAGACCTCCTTGTTCATGACATCATGCGGAGGAAAATCAATTTACAAAAAGAGCCAAGTTGGCCCAATCCGTTTGGCCCCCATTTTGGGGAAATGAGATGTGTTGAATAGTGTTTTTTTTTTTTTTTAAATGAGTAGTTGAAAAGGAAGGAAAAATTTTCAGTTTAAGTGTTATATTGTTTTATGGAAGATTGTGTGGTTGAAAATAGAAGAGAAAAAATTGAAATGTAATAGAATTGAAATTAATGGGGCAAAACATTTTTCTCACTTTGATCTTTTTCTTTCTTCTGAATAATCTAAAAGGTTTGTCAAAGATGGCAGGGCTGTTTATTTGGCTTTCAAGTGTCGTAAGTTGTGGAATCAAAATTTTCAAATGGGAAAGAATAAAAGTTGAGTGAGTAAAATATATATTCGTATTATATAGATAATAAATAATTTCAAAATCTATCATATCACAATGTGTCTAAGTTGGTGTCACGACGTGCTTGTATAGAAATCTTAGTGCGCCACAATGGGCCTAAGTCGGTGATATGACGTGTTTGACTTAAAGTCTTCGTATATCATGATGTGCCTCATAGATTTTAAAATGTTTTTTGAATATTGCAAGAGCAGTCGCAATCTTATTTTCTATAGCTCCACTAAAATCATTTAAACATTTGAATATAGTGAATAATTTATTAACACCGTCAAATAAATTTGAAGGACTACTACATAATCTTATTTTTTAATTGTTGAGATGGAACGAGAGAAAATTGAGTCGAATAATTATATAGATAAAAACTCTATTTACTACAAAATACATTTCATTATTATATCTTAATGCTTCAAAAGCTCAACACGTGCATAAGCACACTCTTATGATTGGGAAAAAAAAAAAGAAAAAAAGAAGAAGAGAGAGAGCTATTTGGCTTTTAAAAAAGGTAATAAATTCCCATCATTTTCATGCCTATCAAATTTGCTTGTGCTTAATAATTGAAAGACTTTTGACGGTGCATATGAATCTAATTGAGCTCAGCAACTATGTCATAATAATTGGAAGGCTCTGAGTCCCCATCATGATCATAGTAGCATCTTTCTTCAAGGAAAATTGGGATCGGCTATGAAGGCATAACTACAAGCATCACCCATTGATGCTCAATATAGTTCATTTTTTGCATAGAAAATTTAACTATTTAATTGTATTTTATGTTCGTAAAGTGCTTGTCTTGTTGAATATATAAGTATTTCAGACATTTTATTTTTTCACGTCAATTCTAAAGGTAAGTTTTACTCAAAATGAAGAAAACTCTCGTTGCAGACACATCTAAAGAGGGTTACATATAATAGAAAACAAGTTATTTCGAATCACCTAGTTGGAAAGTATGGGCCATTGTGGACCTCAATCTTGAATACGTATTTTGAACATCTGTCCTTACTAATATAGTTATATGAGGTTATCCAACTGGACCTCGACTTTAGTAAATAATTTAAACACCCTCTTCTTACAAGCTTAGTTTTGTGGAGTCGCCAAGTTGATCTTGAACTAAGCACTTTGTGAATCCTCTTCTTACAAGTTGATTTTAAGAGTGAATGTTCCATTAAACCGATTGATACTTGACTCTCATTCCATACGCGTAACGACTATTACTCTCCTGAAAATACACGCTCTATGAATTTAATAAAATTTTACTCTAAAGTTTCAATCTATTGAGTGTGGGGCCTACTACTAACATAAAGAAAATTTTAGGCATTGAAGTATGAGGTAGTGGGTGCTGATTTTCCTTCCTAGAAAACAGCCAAGGAGCTGACCCTCCACCTTTTTTTTTTTTCTTTTTTTTTTTTTTTCAACTCTACATTAGTTTAAGGCAATCAATTTCGAAACCCCCTCAGTTCAACCTTTCCCAAGGCAATATTTATTGCACACACACTGTTTGTTTATTTTACCAAGTCAAATTTTTGTGTGCATGCCACACACTTTCGCGTGTTTTCATGATGAATGAAGAGGAATCATCCAGGTTAGTGGGCCTCGACGAAATTTCCAATTATTGTACTATTTAGTTCTTAAGAAAACAGTAAATTTTGTTTATTTGAAGAAGAAAATAATTATATGATAAGATAAATTTGACTTTCTGACATAAACAAAAATAATTGTGTAGATATCTTGAATATATGCCACTTTACAAGACCTTCTATTCGCTTACAGACAGAAGAATCGCTTACAGACAGAAGAAAAATAGAACCTGTCTCTCTTTGATTTGGTTAGTCTTCTTCCTCTATTCTTTCTTTGTTTTTCTTTTACATTTCTTGAATTAAAGTTTCTTTTTCTTGTTGATTATAGACATATTCATGCTAATATTAATTTCGATTGATTTCTATGCTCATATCTAGTACGGAAAAATGTGTAATAATCTTGAAATGAGTTTTCGACTTGAGCATCACTGTAAAGTGGAAATGAAAGTCAGAAGTAAAAGATCGAACTTTCATGTTATGGGGTTTTGAGTACTTTGAATTTCATTTGGAGAAAAAACAAATCATGTTTACCATAAACTCGAGGTCGACTATATGAATAATTTGGAGATAGATGTCTTTTTCTCTCTGGACTTGCAAAGAAGAAACATGTTGACAAGATATGGATTTGGGGTTCCTAATGATAACATTTGCCGGTAAATAAACTTTATTTTTTTATTTTTAAGAAAAACGAAAAAAATTGGCTGAACTTTTCTGAAAGGCAGTTTAATTTCAAGGGGTTTCCCTTGATTCTGCCCTAGACTTTGCTAAAATTGAAGTACCTATATGGAAGCCGATTTGATTTTTAATAGGAATATGCTGCTGGTATCTTTCAGTAGATCAAGCTATCAACAAACATAGTCGTGAAATTGGATTCATGTAGCTGATACCAAATTTATTGAAAGAAGGCTTAGTTTTTTGTTGTTGTTGCTTACTTCCCTTGTTATTTCTTTTTAGCCGTTAAATAAAATTATTTATTTTGTCGATTATGATGATTTATAAGACGGATCTTCTAGTAATTTGTTACTTGCTGTTCGTGTTTTTTTGCTTGATTATTAGTAATTTTCACACCTTTTTTTCTTCATGTATTGCAGTGTTTTCTAGCATTTGTAGTCTCGAAGTTGAGAATAAGTAAGCTAATATGGATCCTGAAGAGAGGCGGCTATGTGCAGATTCATCATTTCTTGATAATGGAATGAGGATTGAACAAAAAATCTCTGATTTTAATCCAGCAGCTGAAATTCAATCTTCCCTTGCTTGTGATTTCAATAACCAAACAGGAATCACCAGTCAAAAAGATTATCAGATGAATGTGGCTCAAGAATCGAACAGAATTCAAGATTGGGATCCAAGAAATACTCTAAGCAGTCTTTCGTTCCTCGAGAAGAAGATTCATCAGCTTCGGGATTTGATACAGCTTATTACTGGCCAAAGAGGTCAATTTAGGGGTGAATCAGATAAACTCTTGTTTCAGCAACAGATGCTTATCACTGCTGATCTAACTTCGATTATAGTTCAAGTAATGTCAACAGCCGGGAGTCTTCTTCCGTCTGTGGATTGTAGTCATGTAGCGAATCCATCGGCCGGAGTTTCTCAAAATGTTGTGCTCCCGGAGAATTTCAGTTTGAACAAGGTGGAAGATCTATCAGGTAATGAAAATTGCGCGGTTGAAGATCATGAACTGAAAAGCGATGATGATCCCGATGAGGGAGAAAACTTACCTCCTGGTTCGTATGAAATTTTGCAACTCGAGAAGGATGAAATCCTTGCGCTGCACACCCATTTTTGCATGATATGTGGAAAAGGCTTTAAACGAGATGCTAATCTACGTATGCACATGAGAGGCCACGGGGACGAGTACAAAAGTTCGGCAGCTCTTGCAAAGCCGAATAAGGAATCCGGCTTTGAGTCAATTCTTGTGAAGAGGTATTCGTGTCCTTTTGTTGGCTGCAAGCGGAACAAGGATCATAAGCGTTTTCAGCCTCTCAAGACAATCTTGTGTATGAAAAACCATTACAGGAGGACGCATTGCGACAAAACTTATATGTGCAGTCAATGCAATGTGAAGAAATTCTCAGTCATAGCTGATCTCAAAACTCACGAAAAGCATTGTGGCAAAGATAAATGGCTGTGCTCTTGTGGTACAACCTTCTCAAGGAAAGACAAACTTTTCGGCCATATCACACTTTTCCAAGGCCATACTCCGGCTATTCCTGTGGATGATGCTAAAACTTCGACCGTGACATCTGATCAAGGACAAATTAGTGAAAAAACGACCAAAATTGAATCAAGCGATTTCAACTTTAAGTCGAATGTTATGGAAGTAAAAGGGTCTGGAAATGATCCTATAAGCTGTTTCTCACCTTTAGACTTTGGTGAGAGTAATGCAGGTGAGTTTCATGAATTTCCTCAACCACCGTTTGAAGATTCTGAAAGTTCGTTCTCTTTTCTATTTTCTGGTTCATGTGATTACCCTTCGAAGACTGGAAGATATTGAGGCTCAGTTAATCTCGACTAAGATCACCGTTTAACTTGATCCTTCGTGTTAAGAGCATTGTACGAACTAGTTTCTTGGCATAAAATAAAATTGTTTTATTTCATCGTGTGGTGTTCTAGTACAGTTTCTTTTATAGATGGAAATTCTACAAATTCTACCTAGTTGCCATCATTTATCGCTGCTTTGTTTACTATAATGAAAATCATAAGTTCGTGGACATGTTTGGTACATATGATTAGACAACATCGTACAATGTAAATGTTAATATTATAACATCTTTTTCTCCTTTGTGTTTAAGGCAATTATTTCCAACACACCAAATATGTTCGTAAAGGAATTGCCCAGCAAGCAAGTGTACCAATTAAGAGTTTAGTAGTTCTTTGTCCCATAAAAACTGTACTCAGGCACAATGAAAGAAATAAAATCAGCAGAACTTTCACTCGATGTTGCAACTTTGTGGATCATCTAGGAAACATGAGATCGTACCTGCAATGGGAAAGTGGGCATAACTCTCACATTGAGATCATTATGAGGGAACAGCGTTTAAAACCATATGCTAAATACTTAAAGAGCTAATTTGTTTAGTTGTGCATCAGTATGAGCTTCAATCCCTTCAGACCTTCTCTCGATTTAAACAGCTTCTTCGATGGGCTGGGTTAATATTTCTCCTTATGAACAACGTCGTCTAGACAAGACTACATGGGCCCTCTAGAAGAGCTGTCAATGTACAAAAACCTCTCCGAGAAATGGGTTCACAAGACTCCAAAAATTCTCTGCTGTTTCACATATTACACCCTGTGGAGAACTCCCCTATAGGGCCATAGGCATGTTATCTTCATCAATTTTGGGATCTTCCATCTCATATTGTTGTTGAGCTATTGTTTCCTTTAGTTCATTGTCAAAAAAAAAAAAAAGGGTAGATCAACTTAAAATAAAATAAATAAATAAATTAAATCAAAGCTAAAGCTAACAACAAAAACTAAAGTAAATAAATTAATTCTCGGCAACGGTACCAAAAACTTGTTTGTTTGATTCTGAAAGTATACGGATCATGATAAGTAATAAAGTTGATATTTGAATTCAAGTATTGTTCTCACAAAGACTAATATTAACCATCAATTTTTATTCCATTTCGAGCTCCCATTTAAATTCATTTGGTAAAAACTTAACAAATCAAGAGTTTATGTTTTTAATTAAATTATAGAACTATTGTGATTAAGTGGTTAGGAATTTCAATTCCATTTAGGTTGTTTAACATGCATCCAATTACAATTCATTCAAACCCTATTCATACGTGCCAAAGATCCAATTAACCTAACGTAATTGGTGATCTTTCTCGAGTAATACTAATCCTATTCATATGCTTGAATTTATTATATCTATATGTAAATTCATACACATATGAAGCATTAACTCATAGGAATTCAATATAGATCACATAGTTTATAATTATCTCTCAATATCTTAATACCAATGTTATTTATTGCACAACTAGAATTATACATCACCTCTCAGTCCCCGTATTATCCCTAAATCAATCAACTCATGATCAAGTAATCGAAGCATTAAACACACAATAAACAATTAACACATATAATCAAGTTGCATGAACTTTTTGGAATTAAATAAATATTAAACCTAAGTGACATGGTTCATCCTAACGACCAATTATTTAGATAATTATAATTGAGAAATTAAATAATGAAAAGGGTTCAATACAATGAATTAAAGAAAATAATCCCAGCATCTGTTGTTTTTTGGTACCCAATTTCGAACAATAGATTGTCAATCTCCTCTTCCAAGCTTGTATATCTCCCGATCAATTGTGTTCCTTACCTTCAAATCCCAAATTGAGATACAAATCTTGAGGATTCAATGTGTTTAGATGTGTAATTATTCCTCAAAATTGTATCTCTAGCTTTCCTTAAGTTTAGAATGAAAGATTTCTTACTTATAGACCTAATTTAGGTCTAAAATAGAGTTCTTATAGGATAAGGGACCATAATTTTAATCTAAGTAGGATATCTCAAATTGCTAGAACTTAATATTTTCTTGTGTGATTGGATCTTTGCTTCCTCTTTTAACTCAGATTGCCTTCTTCAATTTTGCAATTGAGGTCCTTCAACTTCCAAACGTGACTCCTTGGTCTCTAAGTTTCAGAATATGTCCAACTTTACTCCAATTTTGATCAATTATTGCCTCTTTCCATCCATCCAATCCCAAGTTTTCTCCTGAAATGATCAAAAACACATGAAAGTTAAGTACCTAGTTCATAAAATTACATCCGGAAGCTATTTTTGACGGCCAAGATAAGTGTAGAAACCGTCTCACTTTAATTTGTCCTGCCGGCTTTGTATGTTGTGGTTATTAATAAGAGTAAGTTACTATCATTGACTAAATATCCAAGTTTTAGTAAAAAAATTGAAAACGAAAGAGGGAAAATCTACATTCAATCTTTGTAATTATCGGGATGAATAGATTAGTAGAGGGAGACCACGCCCTTGCTCCTCATTCCATGTGACAGGTCCGAACATTGCAAATTCACACTTTACATATATTTAAGTTGATGTCCTTGGATAAAAAATGTCCAAGTTTTAGTCATGAGGAGAAAACAAAGAAAAGAAAAAGGATTAATACAATACACTTAAAGACAAGGTAGGACCGTAGGAGAAGGGGGGGGGGGGGGAGGGAACTAGCTAGCTTATGGTACATTGGTATTTCAATGAAAACCTCCGGCGCTCATGGCCTTGTCTGGTGAAACTTCGGAAGGTAAAGACGGAAGCATGGTGAGTGCGAAAATCCCGCTAGCTGCAGCTGCCACCGCACCCACAATGAATGCCGGTAAGTTACCGCCTCCAAACAAGGCATCCCACGGTCCACTTAGCAACGACACCACCATCTGTTATGATAATAAAGTATTCCCATTAATGCACAATATAGTAAGACAATTGAAACAAGCATTATCCTAATAGATCATTAATTCATACCTGGGGTATAACTATTGCAAGATTTAGAACTCCAAGCGACAGACCTGAAGAGTAAATTACGATAATCAATGTAAACGGCAAACTAAGATCTTATTTCGATAATGTAGGACTGGCTATAGGAATCCTTTTTATCGAAAACAAGAATGAAAATGAAAAGAAACTCAAATAACCTCAAAATGGTTGCAGCATTTACCTTGTCCTGTCCCAGAACCAGAATCACTGGTAAATATAGACGCTAGAGCGAATGGAATGCTGAAAGTCACCTATATAGAAATGGAAGAAATGTAAGCTATTCTTTTAGTTAATTTCTCATCAGTATGTATGATTCAAATTAAAGGTTTCAGTTCAATAGCATTGGGTATACATACATTCAGCATTCAAATATAAACATTATAGGATGAACGACGAAATCTTCAGATATATGTACCAAGTTTTGTCGTGTCGAAGAACTGGAAACAGTTTAAGTGAACTAAAAATTTCTCATGCAGTCCCATCTTCGCAACAACATTTAGTCTAAATAATTCTCTACTTTCAAAACAAACAAGAACAAACTAACCAAGTCTAATTTCGCAAAGTGAATCTCTTTTCGTTATTTTTTTCGGTCCATCGTTAACTATTCAAATCAAACATAATGCTAAAAGATACTATCAAGATTTGGACCCATTTATGACGTTAACAAACTCCTCTTACGTTGGTTTTTCTTGCAATATAACATTCTTAGAGAAACAAGAGTTTGTCAGTAAAATCACTTTAAAAGGAACCTCAATAGCACTAATAACCCAAAAGTTAAGCAAATCAAATTATTACAAAGGGACATTCAATGCACTCTGATTAGTGTACCAAAATACAGGTGTGGTTGCTTGCAAATTAAGTGAAAAGAACAAATGAACCTACCTTTCTCTTTTGGTTGCTAGCCAGAAAGTCAAATTTGGTTCTTAATGTTTCCTTTCATTTTTCAACAATGTACTACAAATAGATCTGCTAAGATATTCCCGTAAAGCCTGAAAACTAAAGTGTTGAGGGCTTTGTGTTATCAGAGTGAGGTAATATACCAAATTATGAAATAACTAAGTTAGGTGCCCGCATGCGAAAGATTACAAGAAGATAAGATTTTCTGAATCCAACTAAGGCATGAAAAAAATAACTAAAAAATCAAGATTATGCTTAATATTTAGAGTAAAGCTATTTAGCACCATGATATTTAACATCATCCAGGGATGTAGGGAGGGCAGCAGGACAGGACTTTAGCCTAGCCCTGCCCCCCAAGCCCATAAGCTATGTATCAGCCCAGTAGAGGAAAAAAATGTCTCTTTGGCTCCACCAATAACACCAGTTTAGGTAACAGCACCCCTATTTGTTTCGATTATTTGAATACAAGAATGCATTTTTTGACCCTTTTCTTCCAGCACATGGGTGGATCCCATTGTGAGATAGAAAGTCAAAAAAATCTGTTGCTGCATTTGCAACGGTCTGAAAAGCTATTAAAATGAGGCAAAAAATAGGAAATAGATGGGACTAAATTACATGTTCATTTAAATACAATGATTTATGTCCTATTTAATAGAATTTATGATATACTGAGACATAAACTGGTATTAGATAACATTATTAAAAAATTTATACTTTCAAAATTGAAGCGCGTGTAATGAGATGAAAAGGAGAGAACTAACCGCTTGAGGAATGCCAAGAACAGCGAAGAGGGCCAAAGCACCGACCTTGACGCCAGTGACTGGTGGCTTAGCATCACCACTATGGGTGGTGTGACGCCGTGTAGACTGTGCCAATTTTGTGATCAAAACGGTCAAGGCCAAGCAAATGGCTAACAAGAAGTTGGCTATACCCCACAGCCGCTTCACCCCACCGAGTCCACGTGCCAAGAACTCCATAGCAAGGGAAGTGCACCCCAACACCACAGCACTCAGCATCAGCCCGAGTGCCCCTGCACGCACCCCATGGTCGTACAACTTCCCTTCCCCCACCTTCCCTCCATACACCTCCTTTCCCATCCAATCAGTGTCGAACAACAAGAACGGGAACCAAGCAATCCAATTCAAACAAGTCACCAAGAGCAAAATCCTCATAGGCCTAGGCAAGCCCTTCAACGCACCAAATAACTCCCCCAAAACTGGTATTTTCACCTTCTTAACCCCCACATGACCTCTGTTTTCCGGTGGCTCTACCTTTGAAGGGACCATGGCCATTTCACGCACAATAATCAAAGCCAATATTGTCAAAATTAACAAGAGAAATATTGAGAGGAAAAAGCAGCTCTTGAGATTTGCACAATACACATCACAGGCTTTTGTTTTGGTAAATGGAAACATTTTGTATAGGTGAGTATATGATCCAGCCGCATAACCGAGAACGTTCCCCACCGCCATAAAGAAAGAGAAAAACGCATTTGCAATCCTCATTTTCTGAGCATTTCCACCAGAAAGATCAGCCAACAGAGCTCTACAAGGCCCCTGCAAAAAACCCAAAAATAAAAATCAAGAAACAGAGCAAAATAATTGAAGAGGATATTCTTATTTTCCTTGAACTTTACATATATTTAAACCTTTCTTGCTTCAGCTAAACTTTCCACATTAACCCATTATTGAATTGTTAATTTTTCGGTGAACGGATAAAGTATAATAAGAATTTCCCCATAAAAAATTACAAAACAATATAAAAGTGCAAAAAACAAGTTAAATTAAAATTCAAAATTATCAACCCATTATCTCCTAAAATTAATTAAAAGCACAGATACAAGGAAAAATTTAATCCAAAAATTTGTACAAATTAGCAGATTCTACAAGCATGGAAAAATTATCTATACAGATAACATGATAGTTATGGAGTTGAAATTTGTATGTATTTGTGTACAATTTACCTGTAAAGTGTTGTTGGCTACGTCAAGGATCCAAAACCCGACGACAAAAACAGCAATGGCACGGGGCTTCGCCGTCTTCCCGAGTGGGTCACCGGAGGCACGACCAATATCTGCGGCAAACCCAATTAGAAAAACGGCGACGGCGACAAGTGCGGTACCGGCGGCTATAAAGGGACGGCGACGCCCAAATCTGGAGGTGCAATTGTCACTGTAGTACCCGACAATCGGCTGCACGAACAAGCCGGAGATTGGCCCACACAACCAGATGAAGGCCGCCCAAGTATGGGGAATGCCCAGTAGCTGTACGTAGGGAGTCAACAAAGAGAGCTGTAGGGCCCACCCGAATTGCACCCCTGCCGCTATTGCAGCCACAGGAATGAGTTTTCGTAGCGGTTCTTCCGGTGGCGCAAGTGGTGGTTCTGATTCAACAGTATTCCGGCTGCACGAACAAGCCGGAGATTGGCCCACACAACCAGATGAAGGCCGCCCAAGTATGGGGAATGCCCAGTAGCTGTACGTACGGAGTCAACAAAGAGAGCTGTAGGGCCCACCCGAATTGCACCCCTGCCGCTATTGCAGCCACAGGAATGAGTTTTCGTAGCGGTTCTTCCGGTGGCGCAAGTGGTGGTTCTGATTCAACAGTATTAATTTTGCTTCCGTCAACCTCCATGAATATATAATTTACCTCTCCACTTTCTCACTCTAGAAATTCAGTATGTATAGATTTCTCTCACTATATCTATATGCAGTGAATTTTGTGAATTTGAGAGGGATTAGAGGCGGGTATTTATAAGGGTGTTTGCATGCATCGACATTCACGGATAAAGGAATTAGTGATTTTGGAGGAAAAAAATTCAAGTTTAGTTATAACTAAAATAACTATCAAATTTAAAAAAATAGCAAAGGAGGTCCTCGACCTAATTGTAACTTTTATTTTTGCCATTTATGTTTTCAACTTTTCTATTTTGTAGCGTCTTCATCCACGGCGTGCAGTTTTGTCATCTATGTCATAATTAGGAACTCAAACTTTAATTTCAACACTTTTTTCAAAAAAATGGAGGACGAGAGAACCATCATAGATCAAGGAAACAAGTTCTATGACGACTTTAGAGGACAAAAACATACCACAGGGAAAACAAGTTGGTGAGAATGTAGAGTGTAGGAAATTAGGAGAGTTGAACAACTGTGATTGTCATTCTAAATTGGCGGGATTGGGGACAGGACCAAGGTGTAAAATCCCTTCGTACTTCTCCTTTGATGTCAAGAGAGTTGAACGATTGTAGTTTTCAATCAGAAGTGGTAGGGTTTGGGACGAGATCAGGGTGGAACAGCGTTCGCACTTCTCCTTTCTTTTCTTTTCGATTTTCTTTTTCCTTTTTAATTTTTCCATTGCTTTTCTTTTTTTGTGGGTTTTAATATTTTTTGTTTGCTTTATGTTTATATCTTTTTTATTCATCAAAACAATGTTTCTCGTGTAATCCAAATTTCTTTAAATGGTAAAATAGATAAATACCAATACACCTTGAAAAACATGATGAAATATAAAGTAAAGACTTACTAGTTACAACGCTCACAGGTTGGAGATGATATGCAACTCTACCTCACGTTTATTACAATTTATCACTAATTTTTGCATTTCTTAGACAAATTCCATTATTTATCATTTTTGGTATACATATTTGCTCTAGTTTTTGTTGTTGTTGTTATTGTTTTTGTTTTTCTAACAAATTAAAACAACCGTTAATTGAAGATTGAGAATTGATGGTGGATTTTCATTTGGAATTATTATCCTGTTGAAGTCTCGCCTTGAAATTAACATTTTAATTTTATTTCCCCCCCCCCCCCCCCCCTCTCCCCCTCCGGTTGGGGGTTGTTTTCTTGTATTTTAGGTAGTTCATTTAAGGATGTTTGGTAGTAGTCATTGAATATTTTGGATATGTTTAGAATGTTAGATGAATTAATTTATTTGTACAATTGTGGTTGATAATGATGGACGACAATATTGATGTTGTCAAAATTTTGGACCATTAATTTTAAAAACAGTTTTTGAAATGAATAAATGTAATATTGCCACGTACGATTGTCAACCAAAATTGAAAAAAAAAAAAAAAATTGTACAAAAAGCATGATTGATTTTAGATATAACTTAATTAGGAAATAAATAGCAAATATATGATATGTCTATTCTTAGATACAATTAGTTACGGGTTCAGGGGTTGTCTAGTCACCACGAGGTATTTTTATTTTTTATTTTATTATTATTTTTTAATTTACACCAAAATTTTATTGCAACAACAGTTCTTAATCTTTGCTTGCTATGTTTATTAAGACATCTTCTCCCCGTTTGTCCGTTTGGGAGTGCGTGAAAAGATTTATTTAACGTTATTGTTAGTTCATGGATTGGAGATTATAACAATGATCAAATAAAAAATATTCCAAACAAGACAAAATAGAAAAACAATTTAATTGGAAATCTTTTAAAATGTTCTTTATCTATATCTATTCTCTCACGAGATCTAAGTGAATAATTTGTGGGGCTGTTTGGGCCCGATTTTTTCATCCAAAAAATTGATTTTTTTTATCGTTATTTTACTATTCCAGTCGTCATATTTGACTTCTTCTCTTACAGGTGGATCCCACTTTTCTCCTAACGGTCAAAAAATCAATTCTCAAAATCACTTCCAAACATGTTCTGTTTATTTATGAGTATTTTTCATAATTTGACATGCTTTTTATTTTTATTTTTACAAGTCTAAACTAAAAATTTCTACTCGCACAAAGTAAACTTTTAATTGTGAGTTTTGTCTTTGGACGACTTACTAAAGTTGATAGGCGACTAATATTTAGCTCTGTGCTTGTAATGTGTTACGGAATATGTACCCTTGTGTTCATCATGTGCTACAAGATATCCATCTTTTCATGAACAAAACAACTCATAATTAGTGTAATAAGAATTGACTCAACATCAACAACTACGTAGCATGTCGGGCAGATTTTTTCATCAATTTTTCCTTGTGTATAGAAGCCGAGTTCACAAAATCCAGCTAGATAACTCAAAAAAGGTGGGCCTCATCTGAATAAAAAATGGCCAAAAATTAACCCATCTCCCCTACCATTGTGTGTAACTTGTAAAAGCCCTGTGATAGCACCCTTGTACGTCAAGCGGTGTTCATTTTTCGTATGTAGTTTTGCATGTTCCACTAATGAACATGTAGTGTAAAATGAAACTATGCTTGACCTCCAAAAATATGAATTATTGTCATCATCGTGAGCTATAAAACATCAAACTTTAAATCAATAGGAGTGACAAATAGGCCAAGTCGTCAGTTGGCTCGCTGACTCTACTCGATTCATGGACTGGTCGAGCTCATATTGAAATGAACCATGAGTTGAACCGAGTTTCTTTTATTTATTTATAAGCAACTATCTCATCAGATACAAAGGTGTTATCAGCTGAAACGAGCGGTTTCTCAGTTGTTGGGAAAAATTGAGTGAGCGGTTCACTTTTGACACAATTTTCGATGGGACCCGTTGATCCAATGTGGAATATCAAAGTTGATATATGTTCTCCTCCGCAAGAACATCGATTTCATGTATTTATTTTCCAAAAATGAAGCTCGGATGAATGAGAAATTGGAGCTCAAAGTTGGTCATTGGAAGTTGGTTTTGTGGGAAAAATGCATTTATCCCACATAGGAAAACCAAGGAAACTTAAACCACTTTATATATGACTATGCTTTGGAGATGTGTAATCATGTGTAGTATAGAGGCTCTCTCCACGTGCGCGCACAGGGGGTGCAAATTACGAATCGAAATGGCCTTTGGACCTTGAACTTGGGTGCGTGCACAACCTGCGCACACGAATATCGGACCAAACAAGGCAAAAATGGCCTCATCGGAGAGCCCACGTTTTGCCAATTTTTTTTGGCTTTCTCCAATGACTTTTGAGTTTCTAAACTGCAGAAACTCCCAATGTTTATTGCTAGAACTGAAAAGCTGAAACTCCAGTGGTTAATGTCGTAACTCCAGTGACTCCAATGGACAGGACTCAGTCTATATAAAGGAAAATTTCTCTCTGCATACGAAAATATTCTTCCCAGGTTTTCCACGCAGTGTCGTTTTTCCCAATTCCAGTTTTCATACAGTGTAGTTTCTGTTCCTGCAGTTCGTCGGAGTAGGACCGCGGTGCTCGGATTCTGCTTATTACCGTTGTATCCTGGGAGACAGCCGCTCGAACTCAACCTCCAGCACCTACGGTGAGGGGGCGAAACTGTCTTAAGGAAATTGTGCACGCACAAGCCTCGATTTAAAATCTGCTACAATTTGTGTTTTCTTTCTGCAGATTTATTTCATTGCAGTTCGTGTAGTTTCTTTGCAGATTCAGTTTATCTTTGCAGTTTCAGTTTCCATTTATTTCTGCATATTATTTCGCATCAGTTTTAATTTATTTCTGTAGATTATTTTCGCATTACTATTTGATTCATGCAGTTTGTAGTTCCATAGTGTGCAGCTTCCAGATTCATCGTTTACAGTTTTAGCCTGCAGTTAACTTATATTTCTGATTTTATGTTGCTAAACATTTTTTTTTCAGCCGTTGAAAAATCCTGAAACAGAATTTTTTTTATAAATTGAAATCGTTTGCCTCGTGGTTATTAATTTCAATAGTCGGCTATTGCATTTGAATACAACTTATACAATTGGTTTCATTCACTAGCGACTTGTTTTCCTACAAGCTTAAGACAGTCTCTGAATTCGGAAAACAAGAGTTGGTTTTTGGTTTAACTGAATTTTAGTTACTTGGAACTAATATTTGGTTTTCAAAAACAAGAGTCGTTTTTTTTGTTTCATTGAATTGTAGTTTCTTGGAACTAATATTTGGTTTGTTTTCAGAAATGGTAACCGAATCCAACAATATGGATGTGACCCAAAATGTTCACGCTGGAAATCAGGCTATGGGTTCTAATGTGGCTTAAGGGCCAAGCTCCGTTGTGACTTAGACTGTGGCTAGAATGCCAAGTCATGTTTTGAGCCAAACTGGCCAAACTGTAACTGTTTCGGTTAATCATGGAGAAAAATTAAAGAAATTCAATGGCTTGAATTTCAAAAGGTTGCAGTAGAAAATGCTTTTTTACTTGACCACCTTGAATCTTACGAGATTCTTGACTGAAACTGCTCCAAAGTTTAATGAGGGCGAGGGAGATGTGCAAGCATTGAGTGCACTTGATGCTTGGAAGCATTCGGACTTTCTGTGCCGAAATTATATCATGAACAGCCTAGCAGATGCGCTGTACAATGTGTATAGCACCATGAAAACTGCTAAGGAATTGTGGGAGTCCTTGGACCGGAAATACAAAATTGAGGATGCCGGGGCTAAAAAGTTTATAGTCGGCAAATTCCTAGACTAGAAGATGGTGGACTCCAAAACTATTATCAGTCAAGTGCAAGAACTCCAAGTGATCCTTCACAAAATTCATGCAAAAGGAATGATGTTGAGTGAAACTTTTCAGGTGGCTGCAATTATAGAAAAATTGCCCCCTGCGCGGAAAGATTTCAAGAACTATTTGAAACACAAATGAAAGGAAATGAACGTCGAAGAACTCCTCGTTAGACTTCGAATTGAAGAAGACAACAAGAGTTTCGAGAAGAAGTGGTTCAATCCTGGTATGGCCAAAGCCAATGTTGTGGAGTTTGATCAAAATAGTAAGAACTACAAAAACAAGTCTGGGCCATCTCGTGGCAAAAGAATCAAGTAAGGACCAAAAGGTGGAATTGTCAAGAAGAAATTCCAAAGAAAATGCTTCAATTGTGACAAAGTGGGTCACAAGTCTTC